CCCCTTTCTGCGGTTCAATCGGGTAATTTGGGAAAAGCACCTGAGACACAGTGAGTGTATTATGTATTTCATCATTATAAGATGCACATTTGTTCACAGTTTAATGTCTTTGAAATCAAGACAGTGTGTTAAAATTTATGTCTTATCATGGCTTAACTGGAAGTGCTTCTTTCTTTATGCTACATAGAAAGAATGATAGCCCTAACTGGTTTGGCTCAGTGGATAGAGCGTCGGCCTGTGGACTCAAGAGTCCCAGGTTCGGTTCTGGTCAGGGGCATGTACCTTGGTTGCGGGCACATACCCAGTAGGGAGTGTGCAGGAGGCAGCTGATCGATGTTTCTAACTCTCTATCCCTCTATTTTCCTCTCTGTAAAAAATCAATAAAATATATTTTTTTTAAAAAGAGAAAGAAAGAATGATACATCTTCTAGTTGATAGCATCTTAGGAAATACCCTAGTTCCGTGGTCGGCAAACTGCAGCTCGAGAGCCACATGCGGCTCTTTGGCCCCTTGAGTGTGGCTCTTCCTAAGCCTTAGGAGCACCCTAATTAAGTTAATAACAATGTACCTACCTATATAATTTAAGTTTAAAAAATTTGGCTCTCAAAAGAAATTTCAATCGTTGTACTGTTGATATTTGGCTCTGTGGACTAATGACTTTGCCGACCACTGTCCTAGTTAGAGTACAAGCTGGACTTAACTAACAAAAAGACTCAACAATCAATGCCCCAAACAAGGTAGAAGTTTGTCCCTCTATCACTTAGCGATCCGGAGATTTGGGGTCCAGGTTATCAGGAGACCCCATTGCTCCCTGTGACCATTCAGGGACCCAGGCCCCTCCCACCTTGTTGCTCTACCATCTCCTTTCTTCTCAGTCAAAGCTGGGTCGTGGGCAAGTCTGCATTGCAGGTCATGAGAAGGAGGAAAGAGAGGAAGTGGAGAGCAAGCCATTTCCTTTGGGACAAGTAAGGTGGAAGGGACAGGTCTGACTCCCCATTGATGAGCACATAGTCAAGTCACGTGGCCAGCGCTGGCTTATTGGCTGTTTACAGACACGTTCATGCGAGTTGGTTTAGATGTGGATCCTGATTGGCTAATGCCTGTGCCTTACTGGTTGTTAGATGTTTTGAATGTGGCTCCTGCACGCGCTGTGCCCTGGGCGAGCTGCAAAGAAGATTGGGGAATGCCGATTCCAGCTGGGTAGCTGTGCGCCCAGAGTACACGCTATTATTTTAAAACCGGAGAACAGGGTGGCGGAAAACAGCGCCTCCACCACAGGGAGCTCCTTGAGTGGGGAAATTGATAGGTTGGGGGACAGAACAGCGGCAGGAGAGGCCTACATCCTGAAACTTAGGAAGAGGCCATGGGTGAGAAAGAAAGCCCTAGGGGAGGGGCATTTTGAGAGCCGGTGAGCTGGGAATCAGGATCCGGGAGACAAGAGAGCGAGAAAAACATCCCTCGTTCATAAATACTTACTGAGTTCAGCCTGCTAGGAACGAGGGCTCATGCTGGGCGCTGGGAACACAGATGAAAAAAAAACCATGGACTTCTCGTCAAAGAACGCAGGGTCCTGTAGGGGCGGCAGACACGGATGGGATAATGACAACGCAGCGTGGTGCTTGCAGTAATGGAGGTTAAATGGGCATCCTGGGAGCCCCGAGCAGAGCACTGTCTCAGCCAGGACATTTTTGGTTGCAAGAAGCAGAGCCTCATTCAGATTTCCTCAGGGAAAGGGGGGTTTATCGGAAAGATAAACCCGCACAGAGACCCAGGTGTCAGGAATTGAGGCCAAGACAATCGCCACCCCACCCCCCATCCCCTGGCTTGCCACTCCCCCCAAAGGCTGTCCAGTTCCTTTCTTACGACCGATCGCTTACCCGGGACTCGGCTTCCTCCCCAAACGCATCATTTCTCTCATCCTGTCCACCACCCATCCCTCCAAATGTTACAGCTCATATCCTCCCAGGAGAGGAATTCGATTGGCCCAAATCAGCCTTCCAAACTAGGCTAGGCAAGTCCTGGCTCAGCCTGTGGAGATGGGGAGGTTTCCGGGAGGAGGAGATATGTGAGCTGAGACCGGAAGGATGAATTGCTCATTCATTCATTCATTCATTCACTCATTCGTTCACTGACAAGCCATTTACATAGTCGACCATGTGCCAAGCACTGCTTTTAGGCACAAGGGTATGTGGAGTTGAACAATGACAGCTTCATAGGGGACAAAAAAGAAAAGGAAAGAGAAAATGCCAGCAGGTGATAACTTCTCATGAAAATCAAACCGGTGGGATGTGATAAGAAATGCCTAGGGTGCTAGGTTAGGTGAGGTCATCAGGAAAGGTCTTTCTGAGCAGGAGAAATATGGAGATAAAAAAATAAATAAAAGCCCTGGCTGATTTGGCTCAGTGGATAGAGCGTCGGCCTGCAGATTGAAGGGTCCTGGGTTCAATTCCGGTCAGGGGCATGTACCTGGGTTGCGGGCAGCTGATTGATGTTTCTAACTCTCTATCCCTCTCCTTTCCTCCCTGTAAAAAAAATCAATAAAATATATATATTTTTTAAAAAATAAAGAGCCCTAGCCGGTTTGGCTCAGTGGATAGAGCGTCCATCCGAGGACTGAAGGTCCTGGGTTCGATTCCAGTCAAGGGCACATACCTAGGTTGTAGGTAGGCCTGGGTCAGGAGGCCCGTCACGTGCAGGAGGCAGCCAATCACTGTGTCTCTCTCACATCGATGTTTCTCTCTCTGTCTCTCCCCCTCCCTCTCTCTAAAAATCAATGGAAAACTATCTTCGGGTGAGGATGAACAAAAATGAAATAATAAAAAATAAAGAGAAGGAGCCAACTACTGGAAGATCTGAGTGAAAAGAAGGGAGGGAACACAGCAGGTGCAAAGGCCCTGGGGCCGGAATTGCCTGCTTGCAAGCCTGAAAGAAGGCCAGCGTGAAAAAGAAAAAAAGAATTTTAAATTTTTTTAAATTTTAAAATGAGAGAGAGAAAAAGGCCAGTGTGGCTGGAGCTTCATGGGTGGAGGGCTATGTCGAGGGGATGGAGAAACACAATGGGCTCAGCTCATTCAAGGCTGTTAGGCCAGGTCAAGGGGTTTGGGTTTGATTCTAAAAGCAGTTGGGAGTTCACCAGGAAGAGAGAGTATTCCAGGCAGGGGAACAGCACTGGGCACAGGCCCAGAGGCGAGAAAAACTTGGGCAGGTCGGTGCTACACAACAGCTCAGGGTAGGTGAAGGCAGGAGAATTAGGGTTTGGGGCTGATGAGGCTGTGGAGGTAGACGGGGCCACAAGGTCCTTGAACCCCAGGTTGAGTCTTGGACATTGGGAGTCTTGGACATGGGGCACTAGGGAGCCATGGGTGGTGTATGAGCAAGGGAGAGATGCTGTCAATTTGGGGCATAAGAAGACCTCTTTGGGGCAGAGTGGGGAACAGACTGAAGGAGTGAGACTGGAGGCTGGAGGCCAGGCCAGAGGCTGGGCCAGGGCTTCCGGGTGGCTATGAGGATGGAGAGGAGGGGGTGGGACAGGGAGATCCCAGGGGCAGGAAGGACGGGGCTTGGGGACCGACGGCCTGGGCAGGGGGAAGGGGGCCAGCTGATGATCTGGCCCAGTGACTGGGCAATGTGACAGGCCTTCGGAGAGCAGGGTGCCATTGCATAGTGAGATGTGTGGGGTCCAGAGACCCTCGGGGGCTTCTTCCCAGAGGAAGGACATTTGAGCTGGGTCTTGAAGATGAAAGGATTGGTCAGGATGAGAAGGGACAGAATAAATGTTTTCCAGGCAGAGAGCACAGCACTTGTGAAGGCCTAGAGACAGGAAATCGCTTGACATGTTTGGGGACACTCAGTGTTAGTGGAACGCAAAGTGGGTTTGGGGTAGAAATAGTTGGTTTTTTCAAATATATTTTTTATTGATTTCAGAGAGGAAAAAAGAGGGAGAGAGAGAGAGACATCAATGATGAAAGAGAATCATTGATCGGCTGCCTCCTGCACGCCCCAGACTGGGGATGGAGCCGGAAACCCGGGCATTGAACCGTGACCTCCTGGTTCATAGGTCAGTGCCCAACCACTGAGCCACACCGGCTGGGCCAAAGAGTTTGAGGATGGGAAGCAATCAGAGATGGCAGGGGCCGGAACACTCAGGATCTCCACCGCCCCAAACCCAGGCTGAGGCTCTAGGACCCTGTGTGTGGGCGCTGGGCAGCGAGGGGAGAGTACCTGGCAGAAAAGAGGCTTATGGGAGTTTTCAACATCGTGGAGGAGATCCCGCCTGGGAGCTGGGGCTGGTCAGTAGAAAGGGGACTTCTTCTGTTTTCGGCCACCACGGTCCGGTCCAGGTCCCACATGTCCCCTCCCTTTCTCCCGGGCAGGTACTTCATGAATATTACCTGGGACAACCGGGATTACTCCTTCAATGAGGATGGCTTCCTGGTGAACCCCTCCCTGGTGGTCATCTCCCTCACCAGGGACAGGACCTGGGAGGTGGTGAGTTCCCGCCCTGACCGCGGCTTGGGAGAGGCCTGGACTGCTGGGTCCCGGGGGGGGGAGAACTGGGAGCCCAGATCTACGGGGAGGAGGGAGATGGGGCCCAGACTCCTGGATCTGAGGGAGAAGGAGCTGGGAGCCTGGGCCAGGAAGGCCAGGGCATTCGGGAAGGCCCCCCCCCCCCCACCACCACCCAGGAAGCCTGAGTCACCATCTCTCGGCCAAGGTGGGCAGCTGGGAACAGCAGACTTTGCGCCTCAAGTACCCGCTGTGGTCCCGCTACGGCCGCTTCCTGCAGCCGGTAGATGACACGCAGCACCTGACGGTGGCCACGCTGGAGGAGAGGCCCTTCGTCATTGTGGAGCCGGCCGACCCGATCAGCGGCACCTGCATCCGAGACTCGGTGCCCTGCCGGAGCCAGCTCAACCGCACCCACAGGTGACAGCCGGGGCCGGGAGTTCCATCTTCAGTATCTTTCCCCTGCCCCGCCCGTTTTGGCTCAGTGGTTAGAGCGTCACCCGTGGACTGAAAGGTCTTGGGTTCGATTCCGGTCAAGGGCACGTATCTGGGTTGCAGGCTCCATCCCTGGCTCTGGTCTGGGCACGTGCAGGAGGCAACCAATCGATGTGTTTCTCTTACATCGATGTTTCTCTCTCTCCCTTCCACTTTCGCTAAGAATAAATAGAGCCCTAGCCGATTTGGCTCAGTGGATAGATAGAGCGTGGGCCTGCGGACCAAAGGGTCCCGGGTTCGATTCCGGTCAAGGGCAGGTACCTTGGTTGCAGGCTCCTCCCCTGCCCCATCCTCGGGTCACGTGCAGTTGGCAACCAATCGATGTGTTTCTCTCACATCGATGTTTCTCTCTGTCTTTCCTTCTCTCTTCCACTCTCTATAAAATCAATGGAAAAATGGGAAAATGTCCGAGGATTAACAACAACAAAAAACCCTCCTCTCTTGAAGCCCAGGGTCCTGACCCAGCCCCTCCTTCCTTGGGACCCAGGACCCTCACCGCCCTCCAGCTTGGCGACCTTGGACGAGTCCTCTGAGCCTCAGTTTACCCCGAGAGCGCTAACCCGAGTTTTAGCTGCTGCTTGCCCCTCCCTCCCTTAAGACCAGTGGTCCCCAGTGTCCCCAAGCCTGCTGTTCCCCGCAGCCCTCCGCCGGACGCCCCCCGCCCGGAAAAGCGGTGTTGCAAGGGCTTCTGCATCGACATTCTGAAGCGGCTGGCGCAGACCATCGGCTTCAGCTACGACCTCTACCTGGTCACGAACGGCAAGCACGGGAAGAAGATCGACGGCGTCTGGAACGGCATGATCGGGGAGGTGAGGCGCATGGACAGGGACTGGGCGGGGCGGACAGGGACTGGGTGGGGCGGGGCGAGGACAGGACCGAGGAGGGGGCCCCAGGGGGCGGGGCCACCGGGGGGCGGGCTCTGGGGCTGAAGGACTGGTCTAAACCAAGGGAACGCCCAGATGTGAAGGGGCGGGGCCACCAGAAGGACCCGCCTTGGTGGGGGCGGGGCCAGGAGAAGGTGCCTTGGGGCGGGGGCGGGGCCCAGGAGAAGGGACCTGGGGCGGGGGCGGGGGCGGGGCTTGGAAGGTGGAACTCCTAGAAGGGGCGGGGCCTGGGGGATGGAGCCCAAAACCTAATTGCAGGAGCAGGATGCGGTCAGAGTCACCTCTTCCCACTCCTGTTCCCAGGCTCGCACCTCCTCCTTCCCTGCCCGACTCGGCGTCCCCCTCTCCCCCCCACCCACCCACCCAGCCTCTCTCCTGCGCTGTCACTAGCCTCCTCCCGGGGCCGGTATTGCCTGCCTCGCGAGTCTATCTGCCCGAGCCAGCGGGGCGCCCTCACCCCCTCCTCGCCCTCACCCCCAGGTGTTCTACCAGCGCGCGGACATGGCCATCGGCTCCCTCACCATAAACGAGGAGCGCTCCGAGATCGTGGACTTCTCCGTCCCCTTCGTGGAGACGGGCATCAGCGTGATGGTGGCGCGCAGCAACGGCACCGTGTCCCCCTCGGCCTTCCTCGGTGAGCGGGAGGGGGGGGCCTGGGGCGCCAGGCTG